GTTGCGTTCGGTGTAACAGTTGTGAATCTTGGGGACTATGAGATGCCCGTGGAGCAAGATGCACAGGAAACCTAACAACGTGATCAAGCCATAGGACGATTAAATGCTGGACAACGTATCTAAGTGATTGCCAATGCTTTTAACTGTAGGTTAAGAACCACTGAAAGACTTCGTTACAACAACGCCATCAGCACCAATGACCGTCCATACAGCGGCCTTCCTCGAGTAAACAACACCAATACAAGATTGCCTCATCTTGAATAATCAAATATTCTCGTCATGAAAGAAACTCGTAATATTTGAAGTAAAAGGATAGGGGCCTCCATTGAATCATCGGAAACTGTTGCTTGTCCATCAGTGATTGTTGCTAAACTTTCAGAATATTGTAACGCTTCCTTCCATTATAAATTAATTTTCAGGTGGAACATGCAGGGGCACAGACAACACGTCAGACCACTGGCCACTATTAGAGACCAATCAGTGCTGACACTGCTCGAAATCAAAAACGTCAGCAACGTCTTAAGTGATCCATCCAACGACAAAATTGACTGCATCAGCAGTGGAGAATCCACGCGTTCTCAGCTTAGTCTGCATTTCCTCCAGTTACATCGACTAGGTCTTTCGACCACACGTTATGACCCCCTCCATGCAAAACTGAATCGAAACGACAATGTTCTTAATTCCATTAACCTTTATTTAAACAGTTGGTTTTGGTTTTACTAATTACACGACTTATATTCTAACTGATATCTAAACCTTACACAATACACGACTTCTCATATTCTCACTAATCATCTCTACAACTTACTCAATACACAACTTCTCATATTCTCACTAATCATCTCCACAACTTACTCAATACACAACTTCTCATATTCTCACTAATCATCTCTACAACTTACTCAATACACAACTTCTCATATTCTCGCTGATCATCTCTACAACTTACTCAATACACAACTTCTCATATTCTCACTAATCATCTCTACACCTTACGCAAAACACGACTTTTCATATTCTCACCGATCATCTCTACAACTTACGCAAAACACGACTTTTCATATTCTCACTGATCATCTCTACAACTTACTCAATACACAACTTCTCAGATTCCCATTGATAATATCTACAACTTACTCAATACACGACTTCTCATATTCTCACTAATCATCTCTACAACTTACTCAATACACAACTTCTCATATTCTCACTGATCATCTCTACAACTTGCTCAATACACAACTTCTCATATTCTCACTAATCATCTCTACACCTTACTCAATACACAACTTCTCATATTCTCACTAATCATCTCTACAACTTACTCAATACACAACTTCTCATATTCTCACTAATCATCTCTACACCTTACGCAAAACACGACTTTTCATATTCTCACTGATCATCTCTACAACTTACGCAAAACACGACTTTTCATATTCTCACTGATCATCTCTACAACTTACTCAATACACAACTTCTCAGATTCCCATTGATAATATCTACAACTTACTCAATACACGACTTCTCATATTCTCACTAATCATCTCTACAACTTACTCAATACACAACTTCTCATATTCTCACTGATCATCTCTACAACTTGCTCAATACACAACTTCTCATATTCTCACGAATCATCTCTACACCTTACTCAATACACAACTTCTCATATTCTCACTAATCATCTCTACACCTTACTCAATACACAACTTCTCATATTCTCACGAATCATCTCCACAACTTACTCAATACACAACTTCTCATATTCTCACTGATCATCTCTACACCTTACTCAATACACAACTTCTCATATTCTCACTAATCATCTCCACAACTTACTCAATACACAACTTCTCATATTCTCACTAATCATCTCTACAACTTACTCAATACACAACTTCTCATATTCTCACTAATCATCTCTACACCTTACTCAATACACAACTTCTCATATTCTCACTGATCATCTCTACAACTTACTCAATACGCGACTTCTCATATTCGCACTGATCATCTCTACAACTTACTTAATACACGACTTCTTATATACTCATCTAAGCAACTTACATGTTAAAAATTAATCGTGTCTGCGGCTACAATTTAATATTTTTAAACTTCATTTTGCTGCACTTATTTTTCTTTAAGTGAATTCTTTGAGAAAATTGCCATATTTCACGTTAGAAAGATAAATAAAAGGAACATGTCAACTTGATAAGACAACTAAGGCACTAACTTTAAAGTAAGATTGGCACTTGTACAAAAAATGAAAGTTCTTTTAGTTCTAGATATATGCTGCCTTATTGGACTTGTAAGGTAATAATTTGGTATAAGGAAATCATATTTCTGTTGATGAAACTTAAAATAAGTTATTATTATTATTCCTCATGTTTTGGTACAATTTAGTATGAAATTATCATTTCGTTAATACATTTATGAAGGGGCATTAATTACGTGTCTACCACGATAGTCTGCTAGGCGATTAGGTGCCGTGGGTTCGAATCCTCCTCAAGGTAAGAAAAATTCTGATTCCTGTGCCAGTTCTTTCGAGAGTCGGCCCAGTGTCGGCTCTCACCCCCTAATACCTATCCTTTCCCGTGCCAGGCTATATGAATAACTCCTTAAGGGGGTTAACAACTTTCGAACTGTGTAAACGTCAATACTTCCCTCTAACACTGGGTTGGAACACTGTCTTTTGTGGCAGTAGAATAGCTAAGTCGGAACCGAGTTTGATTGTCGTTTGCTGGGCGATTAGGTGCCGTGGGTTCGAATCCTCCTCAAGGTAAAAACAATTCTGATATCTGTGCCAGTGCTTTCGAGAGTCGGCTCTCACTCCCTAATACGATAGATGTCAATATGTAAGACAATAACGGATGGATTAAGTAGACTAATTGTTGTTATACTACTGTTCTAGTGTTGGTGAAGCAGTCTGTCCAGATAATTGTAACTATAATGGGGTTTGTGATGTAAAACATTCAAGATGTAACTGTTATGAAGGATTTACAGGTTCAGATTGTAAGACTGATTGTAGATGTAATGGTCATGGAACATGTCAATCAGGTATTTTGAATTTCACTTCATCATCAGTAAGATCAAAGCTTCCAAATGATAGATTAGATGATGCATTAACAGGGCAGTTTTTACCTGAGAGTGACAATAGTCTAAATTTCCTACGCATGTTTATGTAAGAGAAGCAGACGTCGGTTTTTAATTCTGAAATTTATAGGATAGCTGAAATTGAGCTCTTAAACAAAGCAAATATTTGGACAGCAATATCCCTTTTGACATGAGAAGCTAAATTTGTATAACATAATTCATGGATAAATTTCTGTAAAGACATTTTGATATTTATGTATAAAAGGTAGTGTATGTAAATGTGATGAAGGATGGAAATATTCAGGTGGTCAATGTGTCTGGGATTGTCATTGTTTAAATGGTAAGTTAATCAATTAATTAAAATTGTTAATCAGCTTTGATTTGATATCAGCTAGAGTAGCTATAACGATTACATATTTCTACTTGATTATGTAAACCTCGTATTGAATAGAGATTAAATATTCACGACGTCATGCATTTTAAAACAATCAGAATGCTGTTACATACGGTATGCTTTGTAAAAATGAACAAATGCATGAGACTTGTTAATTTTATATCATCAAGGGCAATCTCTCGTTCGGATTGGTAAAAATTCTCAGCATCATACAAAGCAATTTGGATAACGTTCCCGTCTATCCATTTAAAACGTGGTATTGTTTAAAACGATGATGAGCTATAACATTCTTATATTATGTAGGTGCTAAATGTATAGGACCAGGTGAATGTGGATGTGTACATAATTGTAAAATGGGGAATTGTAGAAATGGACAGTGTCAATGTTGGAATGGCTATAAAGGCTCTGACTGTTCAGAATATGATCCAACCATGTAAGATAGTTCTTTACGTTTTTTTTCTTGTAACAAAAAATCATCAGCGAAAAAGAACGGATATTATGTATTTTGAGACTTGATTGTATATTGAAATTTGCTATATCTTTGTTCGTCAAAGCTACAGTATATACAGTAAAGAAATTCGCTACTGATTTTAACTCTTGTAAACAAGAATAAAAAGTTAACTAATTTAGCTTACGTGCTAGTACTAGACCTTTCAATATGTTCGCAAGGGGATTCCCCATTCCATTTCATTCCATTGGGAAAGTGCGAACATATTGAAAGGTCCCCAAAAAAAAACTAAACACCCTATATATCATAAATTCTTACACCAAAAAATACCTAAACACCCTACATTTCATAAATTGCTACACCAAAACACCTTCAATCAATTCTTTCTCCTACATTCCATCAACCCCACCCCAAAAAAGAACATATTCACCCTACATTTCATTAAATTAAACGAAAAAGCATATTAGAAATACCCTTATATAAAATAACATCCTTGTTTCGCTTAACATCTGATTTTTAATAGCCTCGTTTTAAATAATGTTATTTTTAGTCTAGAAACTTAAGAAGGAAGATAACTCTTGTTTTTGGATAAAAAAACAGACCACAATTTTCTACTCAATTTTTAAACCTTAAAAATGGCAAATAAAATACTGGATCTAATCTTTAAATTATACGATCCGATTCGTTATTCCTTTAACAAGAAAAAAGAGGATTATATTATCATCTCACCAGCTGTTGGTTCTAAATCCCAGTTGAATGATGGTGGTAGAATTACCTTGAAATAAATTCATTATCGAATTGGTTGCTTCTTCCCGATGCTTATTTCAATGAAAATCGTGTACCACAAACCAATACAACGTTAGAAAACAATTTCTTTCCATCTTTATTTAGCGAGATGGTTTTGGAAGCTGGTTCAAATCCTATAGAAACTATCAAAATCCTTGGGGAATTCGATACAATGTTGAAAACAGTTTTATATCCTTCGATTCAGTCTCAGGCTGGATACCCTGTTGGTGATGGAAGTGTTTTAGAAGAACCGGTAAGAAATGTTCCAAACGATGCGGATGAAGCTAGAATGAGTTATTGCTCGAAACACAATAGAAAGAGTAGCACGAGCAGCTAATCATGGATTCGAAAAACGAGTACTTAAGTATAATAATGTTGTTGAGAATAATAGGTGGGGTAATTACGTAAATTGGAAATTATATCCTTTATTCGGTCTGTTGGGACATAGAAACGTTTCCATAGGGTTACCAAATAAAATTCATCTACAAAGAGAAATCAAGGATGATAAGATATTCTTTGGAGAGAATGCTTCAGATGCAAAATTAGAAATAACGAATCAACAACTTTTCATACCCGTAATAACACCATCAATTGAAGTAGAAACGAGAATATTCAACTCATTAACTAAAGATATTGAAATAGCTTTTCTTCATCGTAACACGGTTGGGAGTATGACTTTAACTGGAGAACCCACCACATGGCCGATCACTAACACTATTAAAACAGCAAGATATTTAATGGTTGGTTTCAAGAACTTACCAGACTTACAGACGAATAACAATAATATCTTTAGAGTAGCAATGAACCAAACTCAAGATCCTATAATCCATAAAGTTCAAGTAAGATTAAACAACGCTAATTATCCTAACCGACCTTCAACAATTAATCCAACCACAAAGGATTATAATGAATTGTATAGAAACTATAAAAACATGTGTGAATTATTTGGAAATCCACCTCAGTTTGAATATGTAGATTTTGCACTTAATCATCCAATCTTCTGTTTTGATCTATCAGCTCACCAAGAAGATCTTTTCAAAACAGGAGTCAACATAAATATTCATATTGAAAAAACACAAGGAGATGTAACAGGTTATTGTTTACTACTCGAAGAAGCAAAACATTTAATTAAAATAGCAGATAGAAGAATGATAAGAATTGAGTAAAAAATACACCCTTAAAAATGAAATCAGAAACTTTAGTCAAGAAAATAATAGAAGCTATTGAAACAGCTTCACCAACTGTAATAACTTTCAATGGTAAAAAATCAGCATAACTAAAAAACGTATTGATAAATACAAATATTGTAAAGTCAGAGACGATATAGACTTAGAAAAAATTGACGCGAACGCAAAGGAAGGTGGATTTTTACCTATCCTACTTCCTTTGATATTTGGTGGTCTTATCGCGGCGGATGCAATAGCTGGTGGTACAGCTGCTGGAGTAAAAGCTGCCAACACAAAGAAAGTAGCTGATGCTGCAGCTGCCGAAGAACATAGACACAATTTAAAAATGGAAAAGGAAGCACATGAAGCAGCTTCTGCCGAAAAAAGGTTCAGGAGTGGGAGATATGATAGGCACAATACAAGAATTTGAAAAAAGATTTGGGGAAGAAACCAAGAAAACTGTTAAACAAGGATTAAATAAATTAGTAGATAGTATTGACACAGGAGAAGTCAAAGTCAAACATAAGGGTAATGGAATATTTTTAAAAAACATACGCACTGGAGAAGGATTATTTCTTTCAAAGTATAAAGGAGAAGGAGTGATTTTTGGAACAAAATAAAATAATAAAAAATGGGAAAGAAATTCAAACATTCAGAAATATTTCCTAGTAACCCAATGCTCATGTGTATATGCGGTAGTTTCGGTTCTGGGAAAACTCATCTCACTTTTAACATGTTGACAACACCAAACCTTTTAGATTTCGATTCATTATATATCTACACAACAACACCAGAGCAATCATATTATCAATTTCTCAAAGCTTTAGAATATTTACCAAAGAAAGATGTTCAAGACATATTTCAATATTATGAAGAAAACGAAGAAGAAGTGGAAATAAAAGATATCGTAGAAAACTTAATTAAATCAAAGAATCCATTTTTCAATCCAACGGATATAAAAGTTTTTCTTACGAAAAATGTTAATGATCTAGACTCTAATATTGATAGCAATCGAAAGAACTTAATATTGTTTGACGACTGCGTAGCGCAAAGAAATCAAGCTGTTCAACAAGAATACGTCACGAAAGGAAGACATCACAACTGTCACTGCATATACCAATTCCAATCTTTTTATGGGATGGATTCTATGTTTATTAGAAAAAATGCAAATTGTTTTTTATTATTCGACGACAAAAATTTATCTCAAATTATTCAGTCGATTAATCACGGAATGGACAGAGCTGCATTTAAAGAGGTTTGTAAAGCTCAATGGAGAAACCCAGATGATCATGGATATGTATTTGTAAATACTAGAAAACCTGCGGGTGAAAGAGTTATGATCGGCATATGTTAATTTTATTTTTTTTAAAATGGATAATTGGAATAATATTTTAAAAAGAAATAGAGAATATATCAAAGTTAAGAATAAACAAAGACCCAAGTTGAAAATAATAAATTACAACAACTTAGATTAACAGAAAATCTACAACTTTATTTCAACCAATATTAAAATCTCAAGAGGATATTAAAAAGAAATTAGCTTTAGAACCCACACCTCACATTGATCACCCCAAACCGATTGAATATCGTGGTTTTAAAATTAGTACATTAGATGATATAAAACATTATTTTCAAACCCTGACCCAGATTTACGAAAGAGCATTTCACCAATCGTTGATAATTAAGGTTTATTGTTTAATGTATTTAGACTAATATTTAGTGCGCATTCACCACAATTCAAAATCGACACAACAAACTTTATATTTACATTAACAAAAGGGTTAATAAATTTAATGAATGGGGGAGATTTTGAAATTGCCAATTACAATGATTTAGAAGCATACTCAAAATTTCTACATGCAATAAGAAAGTCGGGACCCGAAACAAATAGATCGAAAGAAGTTATAATATATAAGAGTAATTGATCATGATGATGGATACGAAGTTGACGAAGTAGATGATTATGCTGAAGACAACAATCCAATCATACAAGAAATAGACGATGATATGGTGGCATCTGGACAACGTATAACGTTTTTATCCGATAACAACGAGGAACTACTTAATAGATTACAAATAATATTAGCGGCAATGAAGGAAGGACATCGATCGCACAGACAATATAATGGAGTAAATTGTATATTAAAAAGACTCCTAGAAAAAGGTATTATAGATAAAACTGATTATAAAAGCGTGATTAAAAATGTCAAATAAAGAACAACTATTCGTTATCACCTCAAATAAATCAGACATTAAATTGTCTCTAGATTATGAGTACGAACTCGATCGCAAAAGAGAATATAAATTGGGATTAAAGTATTTCTCTGTTCCATTAGAAATATCAAAGAAAAAAATAACCAAATAAAAATATCAACAGATAATGGAGTTACATTCAAAACCATACGTTTACTACCAGGAAGCTACGAATACGTAGCCATTAACGAATACCTATCTGAATATGGAGGAAGTGCAAATGGTAAAAACAATATTGAATTCGAAGGTAATTTGAATGTGAACAAAATAAGATTGATATTGAGAAATAATAGTCAAGTTGATTTCAACGTAGAAAATTCATTGAATGCGTTACTAGGATTTGATAAACAAATATATACGCAATCCACTTTAGCACCACACAAAGTTAATATCGAGAATGATATCGATGTGATAAATATACATTGCAATTTGATAAACGGTGAATTTTTCAATAAATACAAACGTCAGATTATTTACAGTCTTCCAACATTCACTGTACCGATAGGATATAGAATTAAAGAGAAACCATTTCAAACGACATATTTACCACTTAATTCCTTTATGATTAAAGATATAAATCTGGAAATCAAAGGTGGTGAAAAAGGGTTTATAGATTTTGGTAACGATTTAAAACAAAAAATTTAATTAATTGAGTAATTAAACACTCTTCATTCTCTTGAATAGTTAGATAATCGAAATCATACTTCCTACATCGCCCGGTGCTTTTCTCTTAACGAGAGTCAGATAACTTCTGAAAACTTTCATTTGTTTATCGTCATCCTTTGGAATAACTACTCCATTGGTGAAACTTTTTTCCCATGGTTTCTTAAATTCATTCGTCACATCATGTCCACTAGCTAACTGAATGTAATCTTCGACAGCTATCTTATCATTAGAGTAACCCTTAAACGTTTTCTTTTCTTTTAGAATACCGTCGGAAGTTAGAATGATATTATATTTAACTTTTGGCGCTAAATATAAACCATATATAATTCCACCATCACCGTAATCATTCTTTCCTTTACAATAATCATTTTCGGACACCAACCCAGATTCATTTAATGTATCCCAATTGCTTGACGAAATGTATAAACTATCAGTATCTGTATCGTATATTTCTGGCTTATGAAATCCATCTATTACGTGAATAAAATTATTCATTATTTTTTTACTGTGAGATAATACGATTTTCTTCTGCATTTATCTCAACGATATATTGAGTCTCATTTACTTTAGGATAGCTTTTGACGTGTGAATCGAAGTTGGCTTTTAAAGTTGCTTCACTCCATAAATGCCTCGATGAATACATTAACCATACAATGATTTACCTAATAATTTTATGCAATTACTACCTACGATATTACCTTCTCGTTTATATTTATTTCTTAGATCTCTCAAAATTAAAATATAATCTCTATAGGGTGGAGTTTTAAAATTTTTTTCGTAAACTATACCATCTAATATTCTAATAATTCGTCCACTGGCTTTAACTATTTCTTGAATATCCACCGATATTAAAACCTCGTGACAGAAACCATTTCTGAACCTGATTTTAGTGCCAGTTTCCTTAATACCTTCTTTGTTCGTAAAAGTAATTTTATCTTTAGCTTGTATGGGTTGGAAGAACATGTTAGTAGAATATTCAAACCAGACTTTTAAAATACCAGTTCTAGGTCTGAATTTCTGCTCATTAAAGAGCTTAACAAATTCTTTATTTTCTTCCGGTAGAAACGGCCTACCACTTTCCGCTTTTGGATATTCGCTGTCTAAAACCGACATGGCAGAAGCGTATAAACCATTCTAGTAGTTTCATACCATTCTTCTTCTACCATTTTTTATGGTAATGATATAAATAATACCAGCCCTTTAAAGATAAAGAAGGGGCCGTTAGATTATTGGAAATATTCTGGAATACAACTTCTTTCATAACTTTGTTATATTTTATCAAACAAGCTCCAAGACATAACGTATCTCTTTTAGCGTAAGGTTCCCATTCGTGTCTTAAAGATTCCGAATTATCTTCGGTGTATTTTGCAATATTGATATCAGTGATCTTTCTCAAATTCATCGGTATATTAGATGAATTTCCCCATGCTGCCAAACTAGATAGGATAGGAACATATGAAATTAATATTTTAATTCCATGCGTATAAACAATCATCGTGAATTGTTGGAAAACATTTAGTTTTAGAGGTGAAACTTGTGTTACCGCATTATCATTTCTACAAATTCTCCATACGTTTTCATCGTAATTATCTTCTGTTTCTTTAATGCCTAAGATTTTGTTATTTCTTCAAATGAGACATAAATGTGATTTATGTATGTAAAATAACCAATCTAATTCCTCGGATACTTTCTTTTGTTGAAAAAGTCTATGTTTGGGCATATAAATTTGAAAATAAGTATTAAATTTCTTATTGAATTCACAGATTCTAGCAGTTGTCATAACTCCTTTTCTGTTTGATTTTGAAAAACTGTTGATGAAATCTTGAAATTCTTTTGTGTAGTCTTTGTTCAGAACACGATTTACGCACTTTATAAAGCAGTGTACATCGCTTGGTATGTAATAATTTATACCGGCATATTCATTTATTTGGGGAGGGTGGTATCACTACCCGTTTTTGATCTCTTTATTTCTTTGTAATTGTTTTTACGTAAAATGATTTTTCCTGAGAAATACCAATCAGAAGCATCCGATTTTACTTCAACTGTTGCAAAGAAATTGTGAAAGGTTTTGGCATTAAAGCCTACAAATTGCATGTTTTGTTTGTGTCCTCCATCTTGAATTATCTCTCCATCTAATTCAATTTGCCCTTAAATGTTATAAATTTATCAGAGATAAGGTTAATAACATTGGAAAAAAGCACATTTGATACGAATGTTTCATCGTCTAAAATTTCAATTTTATTCATATTTTTTAAGTATCTATTTTTAACTAGGAATTTTTCACTTTTATTGATGATATTTCCACATCAAATTTATCTAAAATTTCATTGAATTCTTCTAATTCTTCAATGGTTATGTTCTTATCTTCTCTCGATCTTTCGAAAAATATGAATAATTTATTAAGATATGTATTTAAAATTTCTGTTTTGTTTTTATAATGAGATTTCTGTTCTGATGTAAAACCTAAAGTAATCAATCCACAAGATGAAGTTTGAACGGCAGTGAACGCGGCTAATACAGTTGGGACAATTATTGGAAGCATTAATCCACCAGTTACGGCTGTTGCCACTGTTTACTGTTAAAACTGTGCTTAATGTTTTGAAAACAGTATCAATTCTACTCCATGTTTTCCTGCATTTGTTGAAGTGTTTTAGTTTTTCTTTTAGTTCATTTTGTTTTTCTATCATGTAGTTTTGTCTGCTTTCTAGTTCCATTTTTTAGGTAATTAAATTAAATTAGTATTTTTCATTATCTGTTATAATTATTTCAGGTTTGAAAATATAAACATGTATAGTTACAAACGATATTTGTTCTTTCGAATCATTAATCTTATTCAGATGAACTGAAATTTTGGTTTTTCGATATTGATTTTTATCGAACATCTACAAGTATATATACCTCCAAATTCTATTCTACCATTACGTTCAATAATTGATGGAAATATTATAAATTATTTATCTTGTTGACTTTTATGAATATCGATTGAGGTAAATAAATCAGTTGAAGAGGTATATTCGAATGAATAACTATTATTAACAAAATATAGTTTTACGTATTCAAAGCCTGTCGCTCGTAAAAACTGATAACTCATATTTGCTTCTTTTTTTGGTTCTGGATTTCTAAAAATATTCATTGATGGTGGACTTTCCGTTTCCAATATCATATTAAATTCACTCAATGAAAGATAATCATTTTCTTTATCTGGTAAAATTAACATTCTAAACCTATCTATATATTTTCCACTCGTTTTAATTTCATATAAGTTATAATTCTTGCTGTTTTCATCGTTAATTTCTAATTCTCTAGTTTCTACATTTTCTGTACCATTGATAAACTGAAGAACTTTACGAGCGTTAAATTTTTTATTAGATGAAAGTGATTTTTGTCTGAAGAATATTGAATCAACTTTTACCTGCATAGGAAAAATAATTTCAATTACAATTTTTCCTCGGAAAGGAAATTCTGATGGAGGATCACTATCAAACATTTTAGAGGGATAATCATCTGGTTCATATACTCTTATATTTGCTGTAAATCCATATTTTTTATATTCAAACTCCATTGATTTATCAACATTAGTAGTAATAGAAGCATCGCCACGTCTCAAACTTCTAAATGGAAGATTGAAATAATATGATTTATTTTCTTTCTTGAGATTCTTTTCTAATGCGGCTATATTTTTTTTCTGTTTCAAAACTTCATTATTAATAGTGGTTATCTGTTGTTGAATAACACTATCATCAATGTTTTATATTTGTTGTTGAATATAGGTTTTGATTTCGCTATCATCAATGTTTTATATTTGTTGTTGAATATAGGTTTTGATTTCGCTATCATCAATATTTTGTATTTGTTGTTGAATATAGGTTTTGATTTCGCTGTCATCAATATTTTGTATTTGTTGTTGAATATAGGTTTAGATTTCGCTATCATCAATATTTTGTATTTGTTGTTTAATATTTGTTAGTTATTTTTTAATTCACTGTTAAGTTTAGTTTCCAGAGCATCTAATTCCTGTTGAAACGTATCTTCATTTTCATCTGGAATGTTATCTATTAATTGTTGAATGTCTAATTTTTGTTTTGGAATCTTATCCTCTAATTTAGATATTAATGAAATTAAATTTTGTAACTTAGTTTTGTTCACTACGTTGACCAATTGTTTTTGAATAAAACTTATTAAACCTTCTACTTCTTGTTGTAGTTTAGTATCATTAATACAATTTTTATTATTTAGTTGACGTTTGAGGAATCTTTTCAAATTACTTATTTTATCTTCTAAATGGTTTTTATTTACTTCAATTGAATTTATTTGATCCCGTAAATATTTCTTGTGAACAGCGTCATTATCATTTTCCGGTGACTTTAAATTAGTTACTTTAAAATTGTTCATATCTAAATCACCTTGAAGTGTGTCTCCGATTTGATCCACAAAGTAAGGTTTTGCTTTATTTATCCACGCTGTAGTGTTAGGTTTTTGAGTTTCTAAAGATAAAGAACCTAATCCAAACTTGTTCACCATTGTTATTGAGTTAAATTTATTATAATTTCTTCAAACTGTTTTTATAAACTCAATTGATATAAAACCCAAAGTGAAAGCTGTCCACAAAACTTTTGAATTGAATTTGAAATGTCGAACATTTCATTGGTTTATTAGTCAATTTCATTATCTCTTCAGTTGGTTCAAAAGAATCGAAGAAATATAAGTTATTTGAAGAGTCTTTGTACAAAGTAGAATGATGAACTCCTTTTTGATCGGAAGTATGTATATTTGTTATAGCATAAAATTTACCTTTCTTATATTTGAGATTATTTATTTTATCTCTCATACAATAATAAAACGTTGATATATTTAACTCATTCGCCCATCTCATAAGTTGAAAGTTTGTGGTTGTAACAGTTCCATATTTATCGAGAAAGATATTCATTTTTAAAAGTCGGTTTTTTGAAGTTCGTTTTAATAAAACATACCTATGATTTGTTCTTTGTCTTGATCGATTAATTCATATGTTGGAGGTGATGTGGTGTTTACTTTATCAACGATGAATATTTCGTTTGTCCAGTATTCAACGTAACCTTTTTCGAATTTACTTTTATATTTGAAAATACGAACGCGATCTCCGACTTTAAATTTGGGTTTAATATTTAAATTATTTATTTCATTTTCGTAGTTATGTTGTGCGTTTATTGACTTTATAATATTTGGATTATTTGTGGCTTGTGTTGGTGTGACACCTATAGATGAATGAATTTTGTTATTGTATTTATCTACAACCTCTGGTAATATTTTAAGCCATTTTTGAGATTTCAATTCCGTGAACTTTTTGAATAATTTATTTTTTAGAGTTCTATTATATCTCTCAATAACTACAGCTTTACCTTCATTATGCGTGCTGTAACTTTCAAATCCCAGAGATTTCATATTTTTGTTATAAAATTCACTTCCTTTATCTACCCACAGTTTTTCTGGATGACGGTTAGATTGTTTCATAATCGTTTCAAATGCGTGTTTGACTGATAATCCTGCTTTGTTTTTTAAAGGAATAACCCAAGCATATCTCGTATACAAATCTATAACTGCATGTTAAGCAATATTTATATCCTCTTTCGACTGGCATATTAATTAAATCGGCTGACCATATTTCATCTTTTTCAAATACTTTAACTTTTAAAAAGTTTTTAGTTTTTCTAAATTCTTTATGAATTTCATCTGCTAATCTCATACCTAATTTCATCTTTGCTTTTAACAGTTTAATGATCAGAGCCCTTTGCATTCTCTCTTTGAAAGTTGGATTTGGAATATTTTCGATAAGTTCGATTATAGCATTTGTCGTGTCTGAAGTTTATGTCTTTATTTCTGTATAGTATGTCGTGTTTAAGCGCAGCGGCATCAACTCTATCTACTGGTTCTTCACCCGGTTTGGGTTTATCATTTTGGTCTAGTCGCAGATCTGACCTTGTACCTGGACCAGTGTAATTATGACCGGGAAGATGTTTTTCTCCGGGATATTTTGTCCATGGAAATCAAGGAAGAGAACCCAATGTATTGTATATCTCCTGAACCAAAATAAGTTTTTGGAGCGTGAGCGACAATCATTCTCACCTATAACTTTAAAACCTTTTCCTTTCCTTTCTTCTAATCTCCTGCTTCGCAGATCTCTTATTAGTTGTAAGTCTTTCAACTCGTCAGATTGTTTCACTGCGTCGCTTATACTCTTTCCCGCTTCCGCGATAGAGCCGACGGCAATTTTTAATGTCACCACTATTCGCCGAGTATGGGGTCGACTGACTTAAAGTTAGTAATTTTTGGGGACCTTTGTTTCTAGTTTTCTTCGCGTTTGACCGCGAGCTAGTACATTTCCAGTCGCTGTAAGATTGCTAATGGTTACAACCGGTGTGGCGAGGCTATTACTATAGTCATGATACATTATTGTATGGCAGTGTATTTTCATTAATGTACATATTTTCTACATTAAGAATGACGAATAATGGAATTAAAATGGGTATAAATGTAGGTGGTATCACTTACTTTTCCTCTGAAGTCAAGTTTGTCGACATAGCCAAACAATCACAAGAATGGATAACACAAAGAGATGACCAGAAGTCCTGGAATACTCAAGAACATGATAAGATTCATTTTAATTCTGATGGTTATCCAACTTCGTTTCCAGGTAAGTTATATTTAGTTTCCCAATCTTATATTATAGTCTTTATCTTTACATTCTTATGGTATACACACATCGGTAAGATCCTAACCAATATCGTAACCTACATGGTTACAACCAACATGTTTAACCCACGGGGCTACAAGTCATTTTGAAACATTTCGTCTTATCATTCTATTCTTTAGTCATGGCCCCTGGTGAGTCCAACTGATGAATATCTAGGCCTACTTGTTTACCAAGTTTGAGACTTTTGAGAAATTATGTTAATTCCGAGAGAGAGTATCCTTTCAATAAACCAACATTGTTCATGATTTTAAGCTGGAGTACGGGTTGCTAAACTTGTTTACCGTGGATTTGGTGAACATGAAGAAACTGGTATTTATACCATATTATGGGATGGTGAAGGTGAAATAGGAATAAAATTGGCTAGATTCAAGGTGCTGAGCAGCAGAAAAGGTATCATTATTATTTGTCTATAAAAATATATTGCCAGATGTTTTAATGAAAGAACAAAGTTTTTTCCATGGTACCATCCAAGTCTCCTAGTACATCCATATGCCATATATATTAGGCTATGCAGTATCGCATATTCATTCTGCTTTTTGGGCGAAAGTATATCACGTTAGATTTAACGGTACGAAGACTTCGTTAAAAACTAAATGCCATGCAACCACAATTCTCAATAAAAGATAAACTCCATGATAATGAGTATAAAAATAAATTTGACCAATTGGGACATGGTGGATTTGCCATAACAGTTGGTAACATCAACCCAAACAATCCCGTCAGAAATCTTAGATTGATTGCTCCTGGTTATGAACAAGTTTATGACCGTTTTCCATTCCATCCTGTATTCCTGGAGAACCTTAGACGTTATTCCGAGATCAGATATATGGATTTCTATTCAACTAATGGACATGGGGTAAGCTTGTTAGCGCAATCCTGTTAATTATAAACAAATTTACAGAAGGCATTTATTGCACCTAGAATGTCGCATCCATCAAGGGGAGCGATATGCTAGGCTCGAGATGAGGCAGATGATTTGAACATTCTCAGAAACAACGAGACATTGAAACATGATATTGTTCAATTTACAAATTGTTTGTCTTTCTTTGCAGCCCGAGCCAACGACCTGGTCCAGCAGACACACGGTCCACTCTCATTCACAAGCTGGTACGGAAGGAGGTGCTTTAGAATTTATGATAGATCTGTCTAATAGATTAGGTGCTAACCCATGGTTCTGTATACCACATGCTGCTGATGATAACTATGTGGCACAATTTGCTACTTTGGTTAAAAATACACTCAGAAAAGATCTAGTGGTAAGAGTATTCACAAGGTACCAAATCATGTTTATCTGGTGATTTGGAATTAGTTACCCTGGGTATTTCAACCCAGCTGTAAATTTACGAAGATTTATTATCCTTATGATTATATAATATTTGTAGTTCTAGTTTTGTTTTTACAGGCGTATGTTGAATATTCAAATGAAGTATGGAATGGGATATTCAGACAGTCAAAATATAGCGAAGCAAAGGGATTAGCTCTTAAGTTAGATGTAAAACCCTTCAAAGCTAAATTTAAGTATTACAACAAACGGTCAACAGAGGTCGTAGCTATTTGGAACAGGGTAAGCTCATTACTTTATGCTATAAAATAATCGACATGGTTCAAGGTTGCAAAAATAAATTGCTTGGAAATTGGTCACAACCTCCCCAAAAAAACGAGTTAAAATAGTCCCGTGGTTCATTAAATAAGTAATCTAGGATCATGGGTTCGATCAAGAGAAGGGACATGCCAATATTTTCCCATGGGGATCTCATGTAGACAAGACTTTGAAATGAACTGAGGCTAGCTTTAACTTCCCAAGGTCTAAAGCATATTTTTTAATTTCTTTTTTTACGTCATTTGTAGGTGTTTGGTTCTGAAGCTGACAAAAGGGTTTCAGGGGTGTGGGCGTGGCAAACTGGTTTCCAGGATTATTATAAACAGGCCGTTGAAGATCTTGGTAACAGAATACATACATTTAAAAATATTGCTATTACTGGTTATTTTGATTGCCAGAAGATTGCTGATAAACATGTATGTGCTTTTTATACGCCCACATGAAATGGGGGGCGTATAGTGCCGTCACCCATGTCCGTCGGTCCGTTCGTCTGTCCACAATTGCTCGTAAACACCCTACAAGACACAATACTTGACGGATTTTGACAAAACTTGGTATGAGTGTTCGTCATCACCCAAGGATGAACCCTATTGAAAATCAGAAGAATCGAAAAATATTAAGTATAAGTTATTGCCCTTGTTCTTGAAAACGTATTCAATACTGGTGATTGTTACTGTACCGCTAAATATTTTTATTCAAAATCAAAGCTGCCAGTTGGCGTATATTACCTTGCCTGGCAAGCTATCTTTAATGCTTCCTTTTGATTAATAATCGAAAGAGCCATAAAATGGCATACATATAGGCCTAGGCCTATTAATCAAATTCAAATATATATATATAGTTTACAAGTTACAGCATACAATACACCCTGTTAAAGATGAAGATGATGTCGTCCATTCAATACACATTGACTCGGTATTAATTGCCATGGAAGGAAAAAAAACAAATAATCATTTGACTAACAAACTCTAGATGATCTGAACTGGCAGCTGAAGTTTTAGCAAACCTGTTAGCATCTTTCCTGGGCATATCAAGATGCCAATTGGAATAATGGGGGAAACAGCTTATTCAACAGTTTTTCCACGCAGATCAGAATTGGAATCCAAGACCCTCATTTGACCTACACAATGTTACATTGTCATTCAGGCAAAGGAGTTACCAGGAATGAGCATGACAGAAATACAGAGATATTGTAAAAACGAACTACCAGCAAAGGAAGCGGAGTTTAAACATTATATGGATTTAGCTAAGGTATGAATATCAGGGTATGAATTCTTTATGGCTCTAATAATGTTATAAATGTAACACGACAACTCGTTTTTGTCATCCCTAGTTTTAATCATATCCATACCATTCAGAGATAGATCTCAGCCATCCTCACTCAACGGGGAGTAGCCTCAAGGTTTCAAAGCGGGAATCGAAGTTTATCGTCATATTTTGAAAGTTTATCCCTGTTTTAGGCGTACGGTGTACAGTTAGTGATGTATGAGGGTGGACCATCAGTGATGGAGAGTAGTGCTTTGCGTCATTTTGGTCAGTCAAACAAAGCTACAACAGAGAAGGCTATAGCGTTTAATAAAGATAGTCATATGGAAGAAAGTGTGAAAGATGTTTTAAATCTATGGAACAAGGTTGTTGTTAAAGACCCTCACACTAAACAAGGTATTAGAAATGGCAAATAAACAAGGTTGTTTTTGTGCACGTTTTTACGTAACTGTCATATCGATTTAGAACAAGGTATTAGTACTGATGAATGAGACCCATACGACTTTACTTTGGTTTGTCAGGCAATTCAGTTGTGCTGTTCCGTTTTGAAGCATCAATAAATGACTTCATGTACAAAGAAATGTTCTTTTAAAGGTGGATTTTTTAATTACTTCTCCTATACAAGTTCACCAACAAAATATGGTTCATGGGGAATGTTAGAATATACTGGACAAGATCCCAAAACTGTGGCGAAGTTAAGAGGTGTTCAGCATTTTCTCACCTCAGCTTATGGAAATGCGCCCAGGGGACCGAAATGCAGTTTTATCAAAAATGGCGGCATAGCTTATGGTTGTTATAATAAAGGTGGTTACTTTGATTGTGGTTTGACTGACAATTCTGGACGAACGTGGAATGTAAGTATGAAAGTAAGAAAAACAATACATAGGTCGTTTTTCAATATAGTATTGGCGATAGAGTATACTATATGGTCTCGTCTCGTACTGACGTTCAATACTTATAATCCGTAGGCTAAATTTGCACTGGATATTTCGTTTAAAACGACGGAATGAAAGACAACCATTAAATGTTGGATTTATTTGTTAAGAAATGGAATGTACCTGGTAGAAGTCAAGGTGATACTTTGGTATTAGATGGATATAATAAAAAGAAAGATGTTGTTTATATTCGAGTAATCGACAATATTGGGTCGAATAATTACCATATATATAATACCAAATCACATCAATGGTCAACGTAAGTTTCAAATGCTTCGTACTACTTTTACAGTGGGAGGGGTATAATATGTGAAGCTGTGAACATTCAAAAGCAACAGACACCACTTGTTTAGGCCTACTATCGTGAGATGGTATAGCTGGCAAAGTAATACACTGCATGAGATAAAATATTGCCTTTTGTGTCTACAAGCAAAATTGGACGCATTTTGATTTGATCAAGGGCAATAACTCCTAAATAGTTCATCCGATTATTAAATAATTTGAGCTTCGACCGAGATATACATGCATACCAAGTTTCATACAAACCGTTTTTACTAAGTAATGATAGGATGAACGGATAAGGAGTTATTACCCATGACTTAGTAAAAACGGTTTGTATGAAACTTGGTAGGCAATATTTTATCTCATGCAGTGTATATATATATATATATATGCATACAAAGTTTCATCAAGATTAGATAAAACTGTAGCCTCTATCCTGTCTACAAGCTTAATAAGACGCGTTCTTTTCACTACAATAACTCTGAAACCCTTCATCCGATTGTTGTCTAATTTGAGCTTGACTGAGATCTCATCAGTATATACATGCATACCAGGTTTCATCAAGATTACATAAAAACTGCACCCTCTACTGTGCCTACAGAACGGACGGACGGACCGACATTTCTATGTGGGCGTATAAAAATTCTATTTTCTATTTTCAGACCAGTAAATTTCATCTACTATACTGATTTAGCTATGAAAGAAATATTACCACCACAAGCTACAGGTGATTGGACTGGATTAAATTCACATTTCAATTGCTAATAAACATTATCTAATTGGGCTCTTATTATTTTAAACAAAAACAACACGCATTAGTCTTATGTTGGGCAACGAACGCGATATATGCGTTATATACAAATGCAAAAAATGACCAATATAAATTAATTGGTCAATATGGTCAATCGAAAATTGAACAGATCATTATAAAAATGACAAATTGTAACCGTAGAGTTGATTACGAACACTACAAAATATTCGACAGTTCATTGTAAAATTTAATAATAAAGAAATATACTGATAATATTGATAATTCAACCTTCAATCACACACTACTTTGAACTTTTTGGGCGATACTGAATAAGTTCTGTCAAAATCTGTCAAGAATTGAAGTGTTTAAAAGCTAAAATTTGAAACGGCTTTCAAGAACGAGGTCAATAAATCTTATAAAACATTAGTTTTTTTGATTTTCGATAGCGTTCATGCATGGGTGATAATAAACAATTTCACCAAGTTTCTTAAAAATTAGTCAAGAATTGTGCCTTATCTGGTGTTTACAAGCTAGAAATTGAATGAGTTTCCAAGAACAAGGGCAATAACTCATACTAAATATTTTTCAATTCTTCTGATTTTCAAAAGGGTTCATCCCTGGGTGATTACGAACACTCACACCAAATTTTGTCAAAATCCGTCAAGAATTGCGTCTTGTAGAGTGTTTACGAGCAATTGATGGCTGGACGGACGGACGGACGTCTGCTAGAATGTAGTCCAACGAATGAAGTCACGTGAGCAACTAGCGGATTCCGTATCAGCAGAAAAATTTCTATGGAACACAAAGTGGGCCATATTCTTATGTTGTTTCAGTGACTTTTAGCAATAAATCACGCTACGTATCTTATTTTGTCAGTCACTATTTTATTTTAAAATCGTGGTTCTTTATAGGAATTGTCATTAGTTATAATGAATTGATATTGAAGATAAATACTAAGAGAAGTTAATTATACCATCCGGTATCCATACAACGTGTTTTTCTAGACTTATTTATAGATCAAACATTGTACACGAAAATAGGTGACGCATTCTGCCGCTGTTGCCGAGTTGGTTGCTCATGAAATATGGGTCAAAGTGAAGGATTCATAAAGAAAATCGAAACAAACCAATTTTTATTAATATGTAGAATATCTGAGGAAACATCTAAGATATAAAAAAATTTTTCATTTTTTTAACTTTGACGAAATTCGGTGTTGAATCCTTATATCCACGAAAATAGGTTACACCACTGTATATCATATTACATATTGACGAAATTAGAAAGAAAACTATGGGACAATATAAAATAAATCTATTAACTTTGTATGCCCTCCACGAGGGATGATGAATAGACAAATCTAATACCCAATGGCAGAGTGGGATTTGGTGTTTAAATAGATGGATGTATCCCTACTTACAGTTTAGTAATCATTCACTATAAATGTTAAGTGTTAAAGTAGAATTTTCGATTCAAGCTTACAGATAAATATGATTATAATGTATCTAATAGTACATTTTTCAAAAGCTAATAGATTTTAATATACATTTTCATTGAAAAAACTAATAATGAAAGTATCATAAAGTACTTTGTAGTTAGCAATATGAAAATTATTAACCTGAAAAGTGGACAGATCTAACTATGATTACATCTCATACAAATTAACAAAATCGTTTAATTCACGATTTTAATAAGAGGAACTGACACTTATTATGTATTTGTGCCTTTCAATGATTGGAATGCGTTGGATGTCAAATTAAATACATTGGATAGAGGAAACCAAGAAAAATGTATCGAGACAATGAGTGTTTTTGATAATAAAATTGATGATAATTATTGAGATCGTGCTGGTAATTATATAGTAAATTGGTCCAGGTTACAGGCAATTATAATATTAATGTTCCCATAGTTTGATCTTCTGATGAAGATAACACAGTACCACGAACATCTAAAGACATATCTTCTGGTTGGTAGATATCTGGTAAATTATTGGTTAAATCTTTTAATTCGGAAGATCTAAAAACAATTCAGTGAACAATTAATGTCGCAATGTGGGCTTGTTGGGTGGCAATCATGGTGGGTTTGTTGGAAATTTGCCGTAGAAAAAAATCTCGTACACTATTTTTCTATTACATGTCAGATCAATTCTTTGAATGAGAGTAGCCCGGAAAATCTGGCACCACCCAGTTCTTCAGACGTGATCTACGGATGTGGAACTTGTACTACAAAATTATCGGGCTAGAATGATAGTAAATAATTCAAACATGTCATGATAATTCTATGAAATCTTTTGACTCTTTATCGACTTCCCTATGTATTGTTTCGAGTCCCCATAGTCAAGATTAGGCGGATACATATCTACATTACCTCTTTGAATGTGTATCTATAAAAGATCTGTCTCTTTTCAATATGTCTACTTCTTCCTCGAGACAATCGGGTGATTCCTGAAATTGTTAACCACTGATAACAACTCTGCAATGTAATCTGCTAAACTGCTACAGGAACTTTGAACTGTCTCAATACAATTGACAAAACCTTCCACCCAATTAAATTATGATTTCTTTTCTGACAATGATCATTATGTACAAGTTAAAATTAAACACTATTATGAATTCAATATTATGATATTCAAGATCAAATATAAAATCGATGACAAATGTAAAAATATTGCATTTTTTCTCCATTTCAGACCGTTTTCAAAAATTGAGAAAAGCAACAAAAAATAAGTTTCATACCTCCCTCAGCACTTTCAAAACACAGATATTTGATACTCTGACGTTTTCCAGCCGTTTCAAACATTTCTCTATTTTTTCTGAAGCTTCTATATGGGTGCTAGAATAAAATCATAAAGTGATTTTTAAGGATAAAACACATACAGCAAAAGGAGCTACTGTGTCATGGACCGTATTGAAATAATTTTCTTGTTACAAAGTATCAGTAATATATAACAAACATACCAAGCCCATGAATTGATCTTGTCTTGTAACAGCCTGGTTTTAACCAAACAGTGATTCTTCCATAATGATATCACACATTCTTCAAGCTGCACCAACTTCTTTCTGAAAACGCATGTGTGGTATGTCACACCTTAAGGTATAGCATCAACGTATGACACTTTTTCAAACATACTGGCATACGCTGATATAAGTTCAGGGTACTCTGCGTAAGTTGCATATGTTAACACGCTGACATGCGTTGAGCCTCTTTAAAGATGGGTTCCCTTATTTTCATTTATGAAAATGAAAACGCTAATACTTCTATGAATAGAAAGTAGAGCCGATCTAATTGACTTGGAAAAATACCGGTTTGTTTCACATATCCCTAATTTATTAATTAGCTAAATTAGAAGAGGCCATCTAAACCTGTACGAAGGGCGAGGAAAGGATGACTAAAAGGCGCAAACAAGTGCAAAGAAGATAAAACAAGAGCAAACAAGCGCAAGCAAAGCACAGACAATCTTCTAGTGTGCAAATTACAATAGTAGACCACTTGTAAATTAATTAATTTGGATTAAAATAACGGGAGCGGCTCATCACTTCCAGCAAAACTTGAATGATTTTGTCGGGGTTGGATCATTTAAATGCTGGTTTACAGGAAGTATTAGATCTTAAACCAGATTGTTACGAAAAGATTAATTATTATTTAAAATAGAAAATAGTTATATGTTTCAAGCGAAATGATGTATAAGATTGTTAATACAGGAGAATCTCACGGACAGGCAATTAGTGTAGAATTAACACCTAAAAGTGTAGTAGTTACTCAGTTTTGTTATAAAAAAAAAAGGGGGTGTGAATAGATTAACGGAACTGTCATGAGATTGTAAACCGGCATTGCATTTGGAATAAATGGAATCAATGGATATATCTTGACAGATAGTCATTGAATGTGTCTGTGGACGGTTTTGCTCACAATTTACTTGTCAATATACTGATACGCGCAAGCCTGATGCGCATTCTTTACTCATATGCTCCGTATAAGTTCTATACGCGGGTCATACGCTTGCGGCACGCTAGAAACACTCTGTGATTCGCTGTAATACGTTACCAATAGGTTATACGGTACCCAAACGCTTGTTTTGCATACATTAGCTTGGCACAGAATTCATTAACCGTTTGCAAGCGTATGAGACTGATTTGAGTTTGTGCTATACGCTATATACATACGCTGATACTATAAGTTAAGGTGTGACAGGGCCATGTTAGTTTTCCACAACGTGAACAAAGTTCAATGTTACATCGTGCTTCGCCAAGTAAACTGAGCACTTTTAAGTGGAATGCTACGAAACCAATATTTTCTAAAGAAAATTAACGAAAATGGTTACTACAAATTACAGATTATGTTACCGACATCAATGCTTTATCCGATTTTCTGATATGATTTTTACGGGTATTACAAAAGGAATTTGTAACCTGTAAGACGTGGCTATGAAATAAGAACATACTTATCAGCGTTGTGTTGTAATCCATCATAGGGGGTTTTGGAACGATTAAATAAATCTTTTCTTCTCTGGCTGATTCTGTTAATGACAACACTAGCTTGTGACACTAGACATCTACATTTCTGTGAGCTGAAAACCATAACATAAAAAAGTTAACAGCAACAGAAATGAGAATATTTCAGGAGATAATTCCAATTTTCCATTTCCATTAAGCTGCTTCAGCGAAACTTTTTTAATTTTTAAAGTGACGTTTGAGTCCAACCAACATTTTGAAATAAACTGTCAATTTTCATTCCATGCATATGTTCATTTCTATCTAAGGTTTCGGGTACTTAATACTAGGACGTAAGACAATTCACTCCCATCTTGTTGTTGTCATTATATTGACCCGATTACGTCTTAGTTTTCCATTAATTGCTCTTACAAGCGCTGATACTTTCAGCAGAAACACTCAGCAAAAGGTTCTAGGATATTATTTATTGATGAGAAGATTTTTTATTTCTAAGGTCAGACCAATTTATTTTCTTGTTTGTGTATTTTTCCCTGAAAAATCTGTTATGTGAAAAAAGTCATATATTTTAGTAATAATGGGAGTTTCTGATGATTTATTTTTCTGTCGGGGATAGCTAAATCTGTTTTTCCGCTGATTTCTGGAAATTGAGGTAAGAGTGTCCGTAAAAGAAAAAAAAAAAACAATTGGTCTGACCTAAAAAATAAAAAATCTAGGCCAAAGGGTGGTTCTTAGGATCTTACCAAATAGATTCTATATAGCACCAATCATCACTAGCATCTATAGCTTCAGTTCGGAATGATTCTACTACAGACATTATATCTTCTTCTATTGTCTTTATAAGATTCTCAGTCTAAAAAATATCAGTCAGTTATTCCTATCTTACTACATGTCATCATTAAAATATTGAACCGTCGTATAATTCTTGTTAAGTTCTTTATTATTTAAAGGGATTTGGGGTGATGAATAAAATAAAGAGAAATATAATATGACTGTGCTAAAATCTTGATATTTAAAATATCGTTAGTTTAGATTTCTATGTTTATTAATAAGTAATATATTTTCAAAAAGGTTAGAATAAATGACACGATTTAGACTGGGATATACAATTGGATTAGTTAATTGTTAGTGATTCATAATGCATGTACTTACGTCGAATAAAGTTTTATCAACAGTTAATGGCCACATGTCATATTGTTCAGAGACTTTAGATACAAAATGATGCATTTCATGATGAAGTTCCCAACTCTGTCTTCTGATTGCTTTAGCTAATTCAATATTCGTCTGTAATTTTTTTCTACAAATGCGAGCAAACACAGACATTTAATATCTTACACAGACAAAACAAATTTATGTTATGAATTCTTAAACTTACAATAAAATATGTTGGAATTCTTAAACTTACAGTTACAGTGGAGCCTCGTTTATCCGCACATTCCCGTTCCCGATAAAATCGTGCGGTTTAACGAAAATCCGGATAGTTGAAACATGCCATTCCATAACTAGAGTTATATTCCTTCCTATAAGGACACCTGTCAAATGTCACGTACGCAACACATGGTAGACACATGTGTACTTTATAGGGCCAATACGTCGTGAAGAACCACGATTGTTTATAATTTTTCATTTTATTTCACTATCATAGTATAGTAATAACAATATCATTCCTTAAAATTAGGATTCGCTAATTTATAAACATAAATTACCGTACCGTATCATCGTAGCGATAATGTTTGATGTGTTCCGTAGCCATGATGGAATTCGCGTATGACTGAACGAAAGAAAGCATACACGTGATCATTAAATTTATCGCATATTCTCAAATAACGATTTATTGAACACCGGTCAACGAGGCATCATGAATAATGCTCATCGGGAAGCCAGTTTCGCTGATTTATAAACACAAATAATGTTGGACTGCTTAAACTTACAGTTATTTTGGACTGCTTAAACTTACAGTTATATATGTTGGACTGCTTAAATTTACAGTTATATATGTTGGACTGTTTAAACTTACAGTCAAATATGTTGGAAAGCTTAAACTTACATTTATATATGTTGGACTGCTTAAACTTACAATTATATATGTTGGACGGCTTAAACTTACAGTTATATATGTTGGACTGCTTAAACTTACAATTATATATGTTGGACTGCTTAAACTTACAATTATATATGTTGGAATTCTTAAACTTACAGTTATATATGTTGGACTGCTTAAACTTACAGTTATATATGTTGGACTGCTTAAACTTACAGTTATATATGTTGGACTGCTTAAACTTACAGTTATATATGTTGGACTGCTTAAACTTACAATTATATATGTTGGACTGCTTAAACTTACAGTTATATATGTTGGACGGCTTAAACTTACGGTAATTTATGTTGGAATTCTTAAACTTACAATAACATATGTTGGAATTCTTAAACTTACAGTTATATATGTTGGACTGCTTTAACTTACGGTAATTTATGTTGGAATTCTTAAACTTACAATAACATATGTTGGAATTCTTAAACTTACAGTTATATATGTTGGACTGCTTTAACTTAAGGTAATTTATGTTGGAATTCTTAAACTTAAGGTAATTCATGTTGGAATTCTTAAACTTAAGGTAATTCATGTTGGAATTCTTAAACTTACGATAAAATATGTTGGAATTCTTAAACTTACAGTTATATATGTTGGACTGCTTAAACTTACAGTTATAGATGTTGGACTGCATAAACTTACAGTTATATATGTTGGAATTCTTAAACTTACAGTTATATATGTTGGATTGCTTGAACTTACAGTTTTATATGTTGGACTGCTTAAACTTACAGTTATATTTGTTGGACTGCTTAAACTTACAGTTATATTTGTTGGACTGCTTAAACTTACAGTTATATATGTTGGACTGCTTAAACTTACAGTTATATATGTTGTACTGCTTAAACTTACGGTAATTTATGTTTGGATTATAAAACTTACTATGGTTTATGTTGGAATTCTACAACTAACAAATATATATGTAAACTTACAGTAATTTATGTTGTAGTTCTATTGTATTTTGCTGTAATTTTGATGCTATGTGACATTGCTTGGATAACATGTTCATGTGACCTCCAATCATTTTGGCTATCTGTAGATCATAATGCAAATCCATTGTAACACTGAATTTCAAATTTTTATCTGGGAAAAAAGAAAACCTGATATGAAACAAAACAAATTACTTTTCACAATACTTAAGATTTTAAAATTCGGATTATTTTATGAGATCTCTGGGATTTTGGGACCTAATGATGCCCCTTTTTCACAAAGTCTGGTTTTGAAACAAATACTTCAAACCAAAATGCCACAACTGTCTTTGTTTCCTTGATGGGTCTGCTATAGAATTTGTCAAAATTTGAATTTATAATGAATATCCGAATTCTTTATACCTCCTTCAACTTCTTCTAAGTAGGCACAAATTCCATTGAGGAAATCCAGTTTTTGTCTGTGTAGTAATATTATGGGTCGATCTAGGTCTGTTTCAGGAAAATTACTATTAGTCAAGCTATCTTTTTCTGATATAACTGATTTTTCATATAGTGCATTTTGGTAAAACAGTTGCTGATTTTCTATTTCTATATCAGTTTGATTTTGAAGATGAAGTTGTAGATCTGTAAGGCTGTAAAAAATTGTCTGACCCATAAATAACTTTTATCTTGGCGATGAGAACTATTCCAGAATATATCTTTATTCAAATGACTGTAAAATCCTTTCAGATTCATTCATTATCAATAATGACACAAGCAACATTTTAGGGAATTTCTCTAGCAAGAATAATCTGGTTGGCAGTGTTGCAGCAAACGTTAGAAATGAAGTTACCTTTCTTCGGGATTCATATATATTTTGTACATCCATGTTGGATTTTGTATGGTAGACATGACTGTTACTGCTACTTTACTTAAAATAGTTTCGGCCTCATTGAAGAACCTGTCAAAGGTCCAAGTCTTTTCTTCTTGAACTTCTAATAACCCGGCAATTAATGGCGTTATCAGTTGTTTTAAACCACTAAAAAGAAAATTACACTGGTTGTTGAAATAGCTTTTTCTCATTTATTCATAAACAGATAGAACATTTACAGCTACTTCGTAGCATTCCAGATTTCATCAAAAGGTTTATCCGTGTAATAGGCCTAATTCGCTTATAATTACCCTGACAAAGATGTAGATGGCGGTAAATCTTTAACCCATAAAATCCGTCCGTTTTGCTTGAGTTGTACTCCTGCTATAGCACCAGGTGGTCTCTCAAACAGCATGTGTCTCCTAAAAAATACATTGTAAAAGATAGCTTGCCAGGCAAGGTAACATACGCCCACTACCAACTGTCAGAAATGATAACAAAGTCTGTAGTGGTTTAATATGTGAAACCAATCATCCGATTGTTACTAATTTCAAGCTTAACTCAGGACTCATACCAAGTTTCATCAAAAAACAAATAAAAAATGCAGTCTCTATCAGGCCTTCAAGCCCAATTAGACGCATTGAATTAATTCAAGAGTCATAACCCCAAAACCATTCATCCAATTATTACCATTTTTATACGCCCACATGAAATGGGGGGGCGTATATTGCCGTCACCCATGTCCGTCCGTCCGTCCGTGCACAATTGCTCGTAAACACTCTACATGACACAAATCTTGACGGATTTTGACAAAACTTGGTATGAGTGTTCGTAATTACCCAAGGATGAACCTTATTGAAAATCAGAAAAATCGGAAAAACATTTAGTTTGAGTTATTGCCCTTGTTCTTGAAAACGCGTTAAATTTTTAGCTCGTAAACACTCTAGAAGGCACAATTCTTGATGGATTTTGACGAAACTTGGCATGAGTGTTTGTTATCAACCAAGGATAAACCCTAATGAAAATCAGAAAAATCGAAAAATATTTAGTATGAGTTATTGCCCTTGTTTTTGAAAACACGATCTATTTTTAGATCGTAGACATTCTAGAAGGCACTATTCTTGATGGATTTTGACGAAACTTGGCATGAGTGTTTGTTATCAACCAAGGATAAACCTTATTGAAAATCAGAAAAATCGAAAAATATTTAGTATGAGTTATTGCCCTTGTTTTTGAAAACGCGTTCAATTTTTAGCTTGTTAACACTTTAGAAGGCAGAATTCTTGACGGATTTTGACGAAACTTGGTTTTATTATTCAGTCCTGCGCTGAAGATTGAATATTTGCCTTCTAGAGTTTTCACGAGCTAAAAATTGAACACGTTTTCAAGAACAAGGGCAATAACTCATACTCGATATTATTAAGTATCGCCCTAAAGAGTTCAAAAGAAGTGTATGACAGAAGGTTGGATATTTCATACTAGTGATTGTTACTGTACTGCCAAATATTTTTATTCAAAATCAAAACTGCCAGTGGGCTCATATTACCTTGCCTGGCAAGCTATCTTTGAACTTGAGATCTCATCAATATATACATACATACCAAGTTTTATTGAAATCAGATAAAAACTGCACACTGTATCATGACTACAAGCAAAATTTGAAGCGTATTTACTAAATCAAGGGCAATAACTCCAAAAGTATTCATCCGATTATGACCAAATTCAAACTTGACCTAGATCTTATCAATATATACATGCATACCAAGTTTCATCAAGATCGGATAAAAACTTTAGGTAATATCGTGCCTAAAGGCCAAATTTGACATGTTTTTACTAAATCAAGGGCAATAACCCTGAAATCATTCATCCAATTATTACCAATTTCAAAGTTTCATCAAGATGAGATCAAAATTGTAGCCTTTATCGTGCATACAAGGCAAATTTAATGCATTTTTACTAAGTCAAGGGCAATAACTCTGAAACCATCCATCCAATTAGTACCAATTTTAAACTTGACTGAGGTCTTATCAATATCTACATACATACTAAGTTTCATAAAGATCAAATAAAAATCTTAGCCTTTATCATGCATACAAGCAAAATTTATCACGTTTTTATTAAGACAAGGGCAATAACTCTGCAACCGTTTATCCGATTATTACTAATTTCGAACTTGACCAAGATCTCATCAATACATACATTCATACCAAGTTTCATCAAGATCAGATACAAAATCTACACTCTATCGTGCCTACAAGCAAAATTTGACGCGTTCGTACTAAGTCAAGGGCAATAACTCAGAAACCATTCATCCGATAATTACGAATTTCGAACTTGACTGAGATCTCAGCAATATATACATGCATACCAAGTTTTATCAAGATCAGATGAAAACTGTAGTCTCTATTGTGCCTACAAGCCAAATTTGACGCATTTTTACTAAGTCAGGGGCAATAACTCTGAAACCAGTCATCCAATTATTACCAATTTCGAACTTGACCGAGATCTCATCGATATATACATGCATACCAAGTTTCATTCAGATTGGATAAAAACTGTAGCCTCTATCGCGCCTACAAGAAATGTGAACGGACGGGCAGACAGGGGCAACGGCAACGGCAACATTTCAATGTGGGCGTATAAAAATCATTGAATTAACATAGTCATAATATTAATAGATCAATGTGTAGCAGTTAAATCAACAAGCATAATATGAGCATACTAAACCATGGTAAAATATAAAAGTCACTATAAAAATAAAAGTCACTAATATGTCAGTCATATATCACTTAAAGAAATAACGTACACAATTAAAGAAAAAATAAAATATCTTACATAGCTTCTTTGTCTTCTCTGCCCCCATAAGGTCGGAATGGTACAGAACCAGTAGCGCAATGATATAATGTTGCTCCTAAACTCCACAGGTCGACTTTGCAATCAAATTCTTGTTCTCCAGAGAAAAATGCTGCGTTGTACAATTTTGGGTGCTATAAATAGACAGATAAGAAGAAAAAAAAACATATAGGTGAATAGAATTCGCCATCACAGTGACCATATTTGTTGAATTTGGCTGAATTTTGGAAGAAACCGATTTAATTATATGAATCGTCCTTGCGATAGCCGAAAATGTTACCCGCAGCAAAAGTCATTACTGCATTCCTTTACTAAAATCATCTTATCAATATTAAGCATATCAGTGCATCACCCACAATTTATAGTGAATTGATCACATGTAGGCAAATTATTTGCACGAAAGATTTATCACATGAATATGGTCTTTAAATTGGGTTACAGTAAATTAATATTAGAGGTAGTCACAAGGTAAATGAGTAATAGAGATTTCAAGACGGTAGCCTAATATTGTCACAACATTGCAACAATAGTGAGAGTAATTGTAATTCACTCGTGTACTTATAATTACACGCAAGATAAGTAAATCAAAGATGTATAGAGACGTGACGGTAACACAATGACCACAAGAATTTGTCTGACCTACTGTAACCTCAGAAATACCGATCAACATAGCTGCCATTGACAAGCATATTCATGAAACTGCGGTTTTCTGTAGAACTACGCAATTTTCACTTCCTTTATACGGCTGTATTGAGTCCAATATCATAATTCACTAATAACAGATAGTTATCATTCTAAAGGGCTGTCCAAACTGCTCGGAGTATAGTCTTACTCGATCTGAGGCATATTTGCTGTTCTATTAACAACTTTATATTGAAAGAGAGCTTGCCATACACTTCGTTCGAACTTAAGGGGGTTGATAATGAACAATATTACCAAGTTTTGTCAAAATTCGGCAAGGATTGTGCCGTCTACGAGCTAAAAATTGAAGACGATTTCAAGAACAAGGGCAATAACTCATATGAAATATTTTTTCAATTCTTTTTATACGCCTACATTGAAAAGTTTTCAACTGATTTTAATGAAATTCGATGTGATCATTTACATTGATAAGATCTTGGTCAAGTTCAAATTGGATGATTTTTAGATGAACGGTTTTTTAGTTATTGCCCTTGACCTAGGAAAAATGCGTCAAAATTTGTTTGTGAATACAATAGAGACTGCAGTTTCCAACTGATTTTATTGAAATTTGGTGTGATCATTTATATTGATGAGATCTTGGACTAGTTCGAAATTGATCATATTTCGATTAACGGCCTTTGATTTATTGCCCTTGACTTAGGAAAAACGCGTCAATATTTGTCTGAGAACACATTAGAGACCACAGTTTTCAATTGATTTTAATGAAGCATGGTGTGATCATGTACAAAGATGAGATAGTTTGATTTTGGGTAATTGATATTTAAAAATTTGGTGGAATTTTCCAGGATAAATAAATGGCAGTTAATATATATATCAAACTATTCAAACTATTAAAATTTCTTTAATATGAGAAAATCCATACTTCAATCACTAAAGACTGTTTTATCATTTCTGACAGCTGCCAGTGTGCGTATGTTACCTTGCCTGGCAAGCTATCTTTTTAATTTCAATAGGGATCATCCCTAAAAAAATAAACAACTTCACCAAGTTTCGTCGAAATCCGTCAAGAACAACTGAAGGCGTTTTCAAGAACTATATAGGGCAATAACTCATATTAAACATTTTTCAATTGGGTTTATCCCAATTAATGGGTGATAATTAACATTAAACCAAGTTTCGTCAAAATCCGTCCCGTTTATGGACGGATCGACCCACCGACTGACAGAGGCAACAGCGATATATATGTCCCCATTCCCATTTGGGCGGATAATTGCTCCATTACCAAATATTCTTCAGTACCAACAAGTGACATGAACTGTCCATCATCTTCTAATAATCTAGCTGTACCAAAATCTGATAGCTTATACAGAGACCTGGAACAGCAAATGGAATGGAGTTTTTCAATTTACTACTTTCATGCATCGGGAGATCTTTGAAGGTGCTAGTTGGAAACGATTAGAGATGTTTACAGGAAGTCTTGACAGTTAATTTGTATAAGTAATTGCGAATGTAAGTACACTATCATAAAGTTTATATTAGTTACATCTCGAAGTAAACGCTACTTTGCGATGGCAAGTAATCTAATAAATGAAATGTTAATACCTTCCAGTTTCATCTATACACCTCAATATGTTACCAGGTTTAATATCTCTATGTACAAAACCATTGTTTCTTAAATGACGTATACCATCCACTATAAAGTTAATAATAGCAAAATAAACACATGCCCACACAACAGCCTTGTTAAATTTATTGTTTTAATAAAGACCTGCATGAATCATAATGATTAATCTGTCAATTTTCTATTCAATGCTCAGAAAATTTTCATTGCAAAAGTAATCTCAAGACCTTGTCAATATAACAACAACCACACCAAGTTTCAAATCGGTTGAAAACTACACTTTCCATTGTACTCATGAATTAACACATTTTGACGCGTTTTCAGTCAATAACTAAAAAACGGTTAATCGAAAAAAAAAGTCCGAAATCAATATAAATGATCAGACCAAATTTCATCCAATTCGTTACAAAATTCTTGTTTCACTAACCAATTTTGACGCGTTTTTTTTACTCAGGCAATATAGGGCCTACCGTAACTAAAAATCCGTTCATCGAAAAAATCATCAAATTCAAACATGTCCAAGATCTCATCAATGTATTATATGATCACACCAAATTTTCTATAAATCGGATGAAAAGAGAATTCCCATTGTGCTCACGAACAAACTAAAAAACCGTTCATCGAAAAATGGTCAAGATCTCATCAAAATAAATGACCATTTTAATCAGATAAATTCTCTATTCATGCGAAACTTCGTATGGTTCTCGCAAGGAAATAACACACAAAACGCAATTCATATGCAACCATTTTGAATACCTTCCTGGACTTAACAGGTAGTATTTTTAAAAAGGCTATGACATTTAAAGGTTAAAGAATGGCTTCAAAGGGATACTAGGCCTACGTCTTAGAATACCAACATAACAGACTTCTATTAGCACAGTGGACAGTAGGCATTAGAGACTGGTTAACCTAGTATTGTTTAAATATTTATTTGCTGGAAGTTTTAGTCTACTTCCATTTCCTGTGAAAAGTTTATAGTCTAGAAAGTTCCAAAGTCAGAGAAAGTTAAAGTCAAAGTTTTGATGTCCTCAAAGAAAACTGATAGGCTCATAATATGGTTTGTTGATTAAGTTGATATCTGTAATTTAAGTGTAGGCTATGCTTAGGCTATTTTTGCATGGACTTGAGCAGAAATGAGCATAAAACAGCTTGGATTTGACCCATATCCTGTCATTTTGTTATGCCATGAAACTAAGAAAGACAATTATGTTATTGTAAGAGTTACATAGACAGCAAGTTTGGGTTTAATTGTAATTATAGTCAAGATATAGGAGCATACATCTAGTCAAAGTCATCCTAGTCAATCATATGCCAGCTATCAGGCGTTACCCACCCCACCAGTCATAAGACAAGATATTGTTCAAGTTAAAGTCTAATTAAGAATTTTATTATTGTCTTTTTAGTCAATCATCACATCATCATCTGTATCATCAGTTCTTAGATATGTTATTCCTATTATTATCAACTACAATAGACCAATAACTACTACTGACCACTGTACTATACTGTGATTATTATAACTGTTAATAAACCTCATTCAACATTCATGTATTGACAAAGCTGAAATCTGTGTAAACGTACATTACATAGTCCTAGAGGCTATACTATTGGTTAAATAAGTAAGCATCCAACACTTTATCAAGTTTGAAAAAGCGACAATAAAACTATAATCAAAATTTAAAAAAAAAGTGAGCAAGCGACAAATCCGTTCAGAAAAAAAAGATTCTGGGTAATCAACGCTATAACAGGAAACAATCTTCCTTAGTGTTTTATAATTATTTACTTGATTTTGTGGATACATCGCATTATAGAGGGATTTTGATGTATAGTTAGGACACCAGGTAAGTCCACTGATGGATATATGCTGTTATTGGCCAAATTTGAGCAAAATTAAAATTTTATGTTAAGACCTAAGACCTAGTAAGCCTATCCCTTTAAATGTGATTTGCATTTTTAAAAATGCGACTAAGACGAAGAAGTGATTCAAAATGGTTGTGAACTACGTTCGGGTGTATCATTTCTACGTAAGAACGATGCGGACCGATTCACGAACAGGCGTTACGGCAATATACGCCAACATGGTATAGTACAAGTACGTAAATTTTAATATTGTAAATGATGTCCTATAGTCGTATCATTCTACAGTATATAATATAGGTCAATAGGCCTAGATATGCTCTGTATATATAAAAAAAATATCTTCTCCAGTATTTACATTGGCTAAATATAAATATGTTCTTGGACATTCTATACCTATACTTAGTGCATATTCAAAACCTATTATATATTATCTAGATTATCCAGTAAAATAATAAAATTGTTCTACCAAGATGTCGAAAGATCAACAAGAACTCTTCTTCATCTAATCCATATTTATTAGGCAATTCATTTAAAACATCTTGTAAACTGCCATGTTCACACAATTCCGTTACCACGACAGGTCTTGCTGTTGAAATCTGAACAAAAAATCAGATAAAAAGTCACGCAGAACTAATGCTAGGAAATAACAAATGCATCAATATTATAAAAGAGATTCCACATTTCTGAGAATCAAAAACATCTTCAAACAAAGCTTAAGCCTATATATATATTTATAGATCTACAAGAATTCCTCTGCAATTTTCGTTTCTTTCATAAAAAATCAACATACGACTCACGTCTTTCTCTAAATTATAAAATATTACAACATTTTTATGTTGGAGATTTTTTAATGCCACTACTTCTCTCTGGATATCAGAATGTTTTCCCCTTCCTAAAAAGATCTTCAGAGCTCTGTATTCGCCAGTCTGAAAGAAAAAAATCATTTTCATCAGGCTACATTTTATGGCCTATCTTTCTTTTAATTATGAAATTCTCTTAGAAGACATTTGAGGCCTTTATGCGTAACAAATATGGTTCAACCAAGATCAAGACAGATGGGTGTGTGAAAAATTGATAAAATGGTCAGCACTAACAAGAACGCACTAATGCAATGCGAGGCAAGAAACTCCACTCTTTTCTCAATTCAGACAAAAAAAAATTTAAAATCGAAAGGTGCAAAAAAAACTACAAAGGATTGTAAATAGGTTTTCAAATACATGTAGGCCCTACATTATAAATGCCATTTCTCCAGGAAAATAATACTTTTAGTTTCAATATCAAGAAAAATTTGACATTCATTTATTATTATAAACTTATTTTTTTATTTCATTTATTAACAACATGTCCATATTTATAATATCTCATAGGGTAAGACTTGGTTAGGGTGGTGGGTGGGTCTGGTGCATAGATCAAAAGTTGAAACCCAGAAGTAAATAAGTTTTTTGTTGGTTATCTGTATAGCCTAAACAACAAATGTAATGCATTAAAATCAATTACGGGGCTTAAAGGTTTGAACTATGACATAATATATACATAGGCTTATTTATCAGATAACTCTTTAAATAGTATTAGACATCCATTAGTCTACTCAAAAGTAGAAGGGATATGCCTTTGTTTATTTTTATTTGTCATAGCCATATTTTTTTAACAGATAATAATATCAATGTTATAAGTTTTTACTGGCAGTATTATTTGGCCTTTTGTTAAAGCCTACGGCACCTACCTTGCTAATACCTTTATAAACTTCACAAGTAGCACCTCTACCAAGTATATCAGACGTGGAATAATAATGATTAGTCGTCTCCCTGGTAAAGGAGATGGTCGACATCATAGTTGACAATGTTAAATTATGATACTACGTTCAGACATTATAAATAGATTCCTAAGCTCTTTGGGTTATCCCATTACTAATAATAGATTTTTGCATTCTTTTATCAGTTTTTTCACCAAAATATATCTGTGAAGTTTAAGGAAAACATTTTACATTAAAAATCATAACTGACGTAAAAGTTAAAAGTTGTGATTCTAATGAACTTTTTGTGCCTTTCTTGCAATCTCCAAAGGAAGGCAACTTGAGTATAATATAATATTCTAGTCTCTATCATCAGGTCTCACTAGGTCGGCACACAGCTGTGAGAAAAACGGTTGAAAACTGATGTCTGGAGTGTCAGAGACTAATAATATTCTCAAAGCCACCAAAACTATGGTCAAAGGGGAATAATCTTGACATAACTGTAGTCTGTATCTTAAGTTCAAAATCACTGTGATTCGGGGGAGGTAACCGTTTTTTTCACGGAAGCGGTTGGATAATAAAAACTATTGTGGGTAAAGTTTGTGATAAGTTGTGTTAGTTTTCAAGAAAAGTTATAGTTTTAAGCTATTTTGGAATTCCTGGTATCTTATTACAGTAGATCTAGGCCTAGATAGCATTTTTTATTTTTTTTTATCAATCATTGTTTACTTTCATTGTTTTAGTATTCAGAAGTTAATCCAAAAGAATGAATCTGAATCTTTAAGATGTCTGCTGAAAACCAAAACAGACCATTTAAGATATGGACACATGATAGAAAGTTAAAGAAATCTGTTACTGCTACAACTTTGGATGAATTACTTGAAAAAAGTCAGTGTAATAAAGTCAAAGATGGTTGATATCCCATTTGCTATAACATAAGGCTTAGTTAAAGGGTCATTCTGCTTTTTTTGTAAAACATTTCCATTATCAAAAACGTATAAATTATACCTAGTTGAAATATTTCTAAAGTATGATATTTATATCTATGTATCTACTTGATCAAATAGAATTTGTTTCCAAAGGGATAATAAAAAACGGACAGTAGGCTACAAATTATTAATTAGGCAGTTTGACCTAGTTTTGGGGTTTGGTTTTTTTATGGCTCGATATTATTAGTTTATTTTACCTAAAGGGACAGGTACCATTTTTGGGGGTTGATTTTAGTCTTGACAATATGTACATAGTCTTCAGAAGTACTAGAAATGTACGAAAATCGCATAATTTCTTCAAAAATATCTCAAACTGGCAATTTTACTCATTATTTCTACATTTGTTTTTTCTATATATATCACAGAGTAGGCCTATCTAATAATTATATTATATGGGATAATTCTAGACACATGGATTTGAAGGCTCTAATTTCGACGGTGAGCTGTGAACACTGTTACTGATTGGCTTAGTTAAAAAAAATCCTGTTTCTGAGACTAGAGTATAATTGGTCAAAAAGAATGGTGCATCTGTCCCTTAAATCTGTATTTTAGTTTTGTAACTAGCTTCCAAAAGCATAAACTTTTATTACATAAATTTTTAAAATAGTTTTTGTGTTAAAGATTAAAGACTAGATTTTTTTAGTTAAAATTTTCAGATACATTAGGGGACACATTTCTTTCGATTTATGTATATACTTTTCACAAGTTTGAATAAAACAAATTTCGACCTATAAAAAATGTAGAATGTCCCTTTAAGCCTTGTCAAACCTATCCAAGAATGTCCATGTCATAACATTCACTCCAAGCAAGGATGGCATAGCCACCATTGTTGTACGAAATATGACCAAAAAAGTTAGTGCGTTGTTCAAACAGCTACCTATTGATAAAGTTCTTGAATATATCTTCATAAATTAGCTTCTATTGGCAATTAGTTGTATCTGCTTCCGTTTCATTATAAATGCATTAATCATATGTCTGTTTAACAATGTTCTGGGTCTCTTTCAAAACTATGTGGATTTCACTAACCTACACTAGATAATCAATTACATTATTCAATCAATGCATCATGTTTATGTCAGGTAAGAAGAAATTAGATCTAGATAATAAAGATGATATTAAAGTTGTATTAGAAGAAGATGGGACAGAAATTGATGATGAAGATTATTTTAGTTTTGTAGCCAGTAATTCAACATTAATGATACTAACAAAGGATCAGCAATGGAATAAACCATCAAAGAGTAAGAATATTAATTTGACCTACACATTTACATTTATTCTGGATTTGTGGTAGAAATGTTCTTTGTGCTTTCCATCTCTATTCTTGCTCCATGAGTACAGAATAAGGGTATTTTTCTTGGAGATTTAGAAAAGTATGCTTATTCTTAAAACAGAATATATGTGTTTTGTCAAAGGGGTTTGAAATAACCTATGTGAATGTATATTAATTTGTATTTTTATATCATGTATCAAATGAAATAATGATATATATTTTGATATTATAGTTTAATTGACATGTGATTTTATTTTGTATTTTTAATGGATGTGATTTTTTTTAATTGACTTGTATTTTGGTATTATAGTTTTAAATGACATGTATTTTGATACCGTATGTTTAATTAAAGTGTATTTTGATATTTTGTTAGTTTCTACTGATAATGATGAGACTGACTATGGGTCTGGTTTAACAGATAGAAGTAAACAATTAATACTAGGATTACAGAAAGATCTGTCCAGAATTATTGCTTTCTCTAATGAAGATTTAGAGGTAAATATTATTCTAAATCTCTAATATGGAGGGAATATTCAATGTAAAAATATTTGGTGGAATATGTTAAACAGAATCTGTTGGTTGGTCTGTAATTGAAATTTTTTTTTATCAGGGTATGATTACTTACTGCTAGATTGTAATGTAACTTAATCAAGTATTCAAAGAGGAAGTCTTTAGCCTAGTGATACCAAATCAACTTTCAGTCTTTTTTTTTTACACATTGTTTTGCATAAAAAAGTCTATATCCAAATAGTTAAGAGATGCTTAATGCTCTATCATTAGATCTTCCACTTGCAGATAGTAAATATATAACTGATACTATTGAAATTTCAGAATATTATCTCAGCTGATAGTAATGATTTATGTCACCTTCTTCAAGAAACAGAATGTTATGTAAAAGCTTTACAAGAGGCTTGTCAACGTCATTTAGATGAAAGACAACTAAGTACTGAAGCTATAGATCTTCTGCGTTTATATCACCAGTCTCGGAAAAACAGTCCATATGTTGAAGATGAAGGGGGTAAGAAGCGAAAAGCTGATCACTCATGCTAATATTCCTTGTCTTCTTTTTTTTATCTCAATACTTGTAGTTTTGGATGTTTTTTTAAACTTATTTTATTTTCATGTTCATGATATCAATAATATAATTCTTAGATTGGAATACACCATTTTTTTTTTTTAAATATTAATCATTATTAATGGGTAAATAAATCATAATTGGAAGTGAACTAATTTAGCTCCCTCTAACATTTCAGAAAAGTAGGACGTAAAACTCCATTCATTTCATTTTCCCTCTAACATGTAAACTTTATATGCCAGTCAATAGTCATTGCTTTGAAGTTTGTCCAATCTGTGCATTATATTGTCATATTTTATTTTATTCTTTATGGATAATATTGCACAATATGTTAGATTATAGTTGTTTGTGTCAGAGATATCTGATATTGATAAACATATAATTGATAGTAAAGACACAAGTATATTTTGTCTTTTTTAACTATTAACAATTTTTAAAGTTATTATGTGGTATGTAAAAGATTGTTGTTATTAGATTGTTAACAGATTTAAAATGTCGCAATGATATATATATATATTGCTTCATGATTTATAAGATTTTATTTTTATAAAAAATTTAAGTAATGATTTCTTTACTCAATCTTGACAGGACTAGCATGGGGTCCTAACAAAAGCAATACAATAGCAATACATCAGTAGCAAAAAAGATTCCATAAGTAATTTTGCAAATATTTCATGAATTGGACATTAACTTCACTAAGCTTTATAAAGTCATCACTTCTTTCAAGAAAAGTGAAAAAATAATTTTAGAAATTTTTTAATTTCAATTTCTGTCACTAATAATATCTTTAGTCTTTTTTTCTTTTTTTTTCTCTTGCATGATTGTTTTAACAAAAATCAAATAACTCTTAAGCTAGCCAAACTCTTATTTACAACATTTGTAATTATGAAGACAAGGTAAGAGAAAGAAATTAAACAAAATTAAATATGTATGTAAGAAATACAGTTATTCCTTGGCTTGAATACTTCAGGTGGTGATCTATATCACTTTTCATAATAGTAGTGTAATAAGAATAGTTATAAAAATCAGGAAAAATATAATAGCTTTCACATTCAGATATTTAATTGGAAGTCTGGTTTTATTTTCAACACTGATTTATATAGTAACTAAAATTAACAGGTTTGCCTAAATCATTATGCTTTAGCCTTCAATCAATTACAATATTTCACAAATGAAACCAAAAGTCAACAACGTAATCTAGCACTTATGAACACTTTGAAGAAAATCCTTAAACAATAGGTTATAGTCCATACAGTTCTTATGTAACACTTTACAAATCCTATATTATTTAGGCCAAACAAGCATGAATTTGAAATAAATCTGTTATATCGAACTACTTTCTCTTGGAAGCCAAAATGAACAAAATGAACATTGAGTAGATAGAATTTATTTTTTATTTTCTCAGCACAAAGAATTTTTTAGAAAATGTTTTCAACCAAACTTCCAAAGTTTTAACTTTTTGAATATGCAAGAAATGTCAATATCATCTAGGTTAATAATCATCTCCACGAGTTAGCACTTCTTTACATGTAGGTCTCAATAAAATTGTATGTTCAAACTGAGCAGTATAGCTGCCTTTAATATCACACAATGGAGGATAAGGATCAATAATTCCAACATCACACAGATTCTTCAATGAAAGGAGGTATTTACTTTGTCCAATTCTATCTAACCAACGGCGACAAAATGCTAGTGTACCAAAATTCTGGTTGATAACTTGGAGCAACTGTTTTGATTTAGCGACCCTGAAAATTAGTTAATTTTAATAATTTAGCATAAAAAGCATAATTAATCACTGGTTCCAAGTCACTAATAAAAGATCTGTCCTCCTGTGCTGCACCATAGTAAAAAGAATAGACCTTAAAGAAAAACATTATTAATTGCAGTAGTGAAGAATATTGTAGAGCAGCATGTAGACATGTGAGGTCACTTTTTAGCAGTCTACCCCTGTATCAATCACAGCCTTAAGGTTAGGGTCTTCAACTTACCTGACAGCGGCACTATTTCCAGCTTCAAAATTCTTCATATAATGTGAAGTTTCCATATCATCATGTACAACACCTTTTCCTGTACTACCAAAAGTTTCTATGGCATAAAATTCTCCTTCCTAAAATATAACCATTCAATGTCATTAGAGGAAGGATGATTAAAATTTAGAAATAGGCAATACATCACAAACACAATCAATAATTATAAAGAGTACTTTATGTGCATTATGTGCATTATATTCTATTCTATAAGTAAACCTTAAACAACATCTATAAAGACTTTATAATAAGACATTGAGCGAGTGAGCTTATTAATATAAATACCTCCATTCTAGTAGCCTCTCCTCCTTTTACAATAGGAACTGTTTTACCAGCATGAATTCTGTATTGGGATACTGAATGACCATTTAAATTACGTATAGATTTCACTAAAATATAATAACAGTTGTATAACTATCAATAATTCCCAGTTTCATAATAGAACTTTTATTACCATGAATAGTTAACAAAAAGAATGACTTTTCACCATAATTCATTAAACAAAATGATGAGTTGAAAATTTTTGGTGTTTTTACTTTTATCATATTGAATTAAGAGTGAAAGTAAATCCTGTTAATGTTTTGAGGAAATAAAGACAACTATTCATTAAATAGGAAGAAAATTTACCTTGATAAGTTTTACCATCTAATTCTACTTCATAAGACTCCATAACCTCTTGTATGGCAGCTCCTATATCACATAATCTGACATCAATACCAGCTTCCTATTACAGAGTTATAACAAACAAATTAAAAATTTTACCATAAATGTCAGAAGATAGTTAAACCTCAAGTCTTATAAATTGAATTATTATATGATGTGAATACTGCTAGTGTCAAAAGGTTTCAAACTGATTCATAAATCCATCATTAGTTTACATTGTATGTAATCATGAACATTTTAATTCCGTCATACGATGTTACAATATGAAATTACAATAATCACTGTCAAACTAAGGAAGAATGAATTAATAGTGGAGAAAGCAGTGGACAGAAAATAATTATTCATTCTCATAAATCATAGATCGAAGACTTAAAAACCTCTTAATACAGCATACTCACTCTGATTCCTGTATTAGTAGCATCTTTTACAGCTTTTAATAACTCATCATACTTGTTATCAAATGTTAATGTAAAAGCACAATCAACCAAATGACCTACAAGAAAAGAAAAACAAATGAAGTGGAATTAGATTATAAATGCTTTTATTTATATATGTAAAGAAGATAGCTTGCCAGGCAAGGTAACATACGCCCACTGGCAGCTGTCAGAAATGATAAAACAGTCTTTAGTGACTTAAGTACAAACTTTCTCATATTGAAGAAATTGTATTGGTTTGAATTCAATTACATATATATGCCAGTTATTTATACTGAGTAATTCCACAAAATTTTTAAAAATCAATATCAATAACCCAAATACAAAAACAATTAAATCACACAGCTCTAATCAAGGGCCAAAAAAGAAAATTTTGACACGTTTTTACTAAGTCAAAGGCAATGATTCAAAAACCGTTCATCGAAAATGCGTCAAGTTAGAACTTGTCCGAGATCTTATCAATCCCAATGATCACACAAAGTTTCATCAGAATCGGTTGAAAATTGTAGCTTTATTGTGCTCACAAACAAATTTTGACGCGTTTTTACAAAGTCACAGGCAATAACTCAAAAACCATTCATCGAAAATGCATCAAGTTAGAATTTGCCTGAGATCTTATCAATTCCAATGATCACAACAAGTTTCATCAGAATCGGTTGAGAACTGTAGCTTCTATTGCGCTCACGAACAAATTTTGACGCATTTTCACAAAGTCAAGGGCAATAACTCAAAAACCATTCAGCTTCAATCCCGCTCATGAACTATATTTAACAAATTTTGACACGTTTTTACAAAGTCAAGGGCAATATCTCAAAAGCTGTTCATCGCAAATACGTCAAAGATATCTTATCAATCTAAAGCATCACACCAAGTTTTATCAAAATCAGATGAATACTGTAGTCTCTATAGTGCTCACAAGAAATGTTGACCGACGGACAGGGACGACGACAATATACGATCACATATTCATGTGAATAAAATGAATTAATCCAGGAAACGTTGTAGCCTACCATGCACCTTGAAAATCTACTCATTATCTTATAAAATTATAAAAAAAATAGTTAAAAAATGTATTGAATAGACAGAAAAAAATCATTCTTACCATTTACATGAGTACCAAAATCTATTTTACACACATCTTCATAATTGAGTACTGTTTTATCACCAGCATTAGGTGTATAATGGGCTGCACAATAATTTAATGAACAACCAGTAGGGAAAGCTAACCCTGCCTCTAACCCTTTCTCATTGATTAATTTTCTTGATATACCTTCCAATGTCTCACTGAAATATTAATGTTTGAAAATTTAAGACATCTATCTGAAACAAGGTACAGTTCACCTTAACACAAAAAATATATATATACAGTGTACTGATGACATAACAAAATGGGAGTAACTTTCATAATCCTTTTCGTTTAGTCCAATTATTAAATTCATACATCAAAAGACTTTATACCAGAATAAACTCCAATTTCCAAATCTAGCTATAAATAAGGCTTCTGCATCAAAATATGTGTCGGCATCATGAAATTACAAATGACACTAATAATGGAAAAATAAGTTTATCATCAAACTATAACTTACCAAATATCAAACATCAACATTCCTGGTTTGATAATAGATTTCATATACTGTCTTGTCTGAAATTATATTAGAATGATTGATATAGTATACTATTTATTGAGAAATAAATTATATTTCAAGATTTTGCTCATGAATACAATACAAATCAACATATTTTCAGTCATCAATGCATCAGGTCACTGTCACATATAAAATGGTTGGAAAATGTCAATATTAGGCTAATCAAAATGATATCCATGCACATTTGTATTGAAGACTAGATTCATACCTGCCGATGTGCTTCTGCTGCCTGTCTTACTTCTTCATAAAGATAATACTGTGCTTTTTCTAACGCTTTCTTCTCTTCATCGGTCATTCTATCTTTAGCACTTCTCCTTTAAATAAAAACAACAGTTGGGCTTAAATTCATATATCTAAATATATCACAAATCACACACATTGACAACCAAAATAGAACTGTTGCAAAAGAATAAATACTAAAATACTGTCATACACTTCTTTTGAACTCTTTAGGTCCATACTGAATAATATTGAGTATGAGTTATTGCCCTTGTTGTTGAAAACGTGTTCAATTTTTAGCTCGTGAAAACTCTAGAAGACAAATATTCAATCTTCAGCACGGTACTGAATAATAAAACCAAGTTTTGTCAAAATTCGTCAAAAATCATGCCTCTTAGAGTGTTTACGAGCTACAAATTGAACGAGTTTTCAAGAACAAGGGCAACAACTCATACTAAATATTTTTCATTTTTTTTGATTTTCAATAGACTTTATCCTTAGGTGATAATAAACACTCAAGCCAAGTTTCGTTAAAATCTGTAAAGAATTGTGCCTTCTAGATAGTTTACAAGCTAAAAATTGAACACGTTTTCAAGAACAAGGGCGATAACTCATACTAAATATTTTTCGATTTTTATGATTTTCAATGGGGTTCATCCTTGGGTGATTACAAACAACCATACCAAGTTTCGTCAAAATCAGTCAAGAATTGTGCCTTGTAGAGCGTTTACGAGCAATTGTGGACGGACGGACTGACATGGGTGACGACAAAATACGCTACCCCCCATTTCATGTGGGCGTATAAAAATTACATACATATCTTGTACAACAGGATATTCACAAACTTCTCCCTCAGGATAATTACCATTAGGAAACAATTCACTGATAGGTATTGATGGTGGTGTTGTTTGTTTTACTGGACCATTACCTTGAAACAAATATCAATTAGGTGCTAAAATTATAATTACTGATATGTTATTCAGCCTTGACAAAATAAAACATAAATGTCAGCCCTTAATAATTTCTATTTAGTTTTGGTCAAAGCCACAGGCACTTCTACAGGGTTTCTAAGGCTTTAAAATATTAACACTTGATCTTAATAAAAAGCAATTTTGAAAGAAAAAATATATAAAACTGCAAGATACCTTTCTTTTTCTTATTAGCTTTTTTCTTCCCTTCATCTTTGCCTTAAAAAAAAGGACAAATATATTGATGCCATGGATAATGTAATTTGTAAATAATAGCCTTATCAAAAAAATTTATCTTTATTTATGGACCAGTAAAATAAAATGCATTTCAATTGAGAGAGAGAGAGAAAAAAGAAATAAAAACTTACTGGCTTCCCCTTCAGCTCCAAGTTCTTTATTTTCAGATATCTGGTTAGGATTCAAACTATCTCCTTGTTCACCTTTAAAAACAAGTTCAAATTCATCAATATTGAATCAATTATGGAAATGCTTCAAAGCTTTAAGAAGTTTTAAAATTGAAGCAGCTGTTATTTTCCCTGTTTGAAGACATACACTTTTTGAATATAAAATGTGTCCCAGACTCTCCAGTCATTATGCCATGCCATGTCTGAAGAAACCAGTCAAATTAACTTTCTTTGAAATACATACCCCCTTTCTTTTTCTTATTTTTCTTCTTCTTTTTACCGTCTCCATCTGTAAATGGTGAAAAAGACAAAGAACATACTGAATACAAAGATTTGAAGCTATTAAATACTTTATCACAGAAAATAGATCAGAATCCTTTTGTATAAGCTTATTGACATACCATACAAGAGATCAATATCAAAATAGTAATAGATAAAATTACCTTCCGTAACACCATTGACAACTGTACATGGTGAATCTTTTAAATCCTGTTTTTTCAACTCATTGAGTATTTCATCTATTTCATCAACAACTTTCACCTCAGTAGTCCCATCTTCTTCACCTAGCGTTGAAATTAAAAAATAGTAAGTTGATTTAAGCAACATCTATTCACTGTCAAAATATAAACTTATATGTTGAGATCAACAGTTGCATAACTTCATTTTTGTCGCCAATGCTGTCTGATGTCTTATTCAACATAGGGTAGTGTTTCAATTGGCACTGTTAGTGTTTTGCCCCCCTCCCCTTCCTCAAGTTCCTATCGTGCCCAATATTCATGTGTATGTGTATACTATTAAATAATATATTGAGAATGAGTTTGCAAAAGTGAAAAATTTCCCCAATAAATCATCATTTATGCAATGTCTACTATTAAAGTCTCTGATAGATCATCTAAAAAAAACTAAAGTTGTCTTTATCGTAGCACATGTGTTATGTAAAACTGTAAATCAAGCTCCAGAAAATGAGTACCTGCTTTCTTCTTCTTTCGCTTCTTTTTCTTCTTCTTAGATTTAGCACTCTCGTCAACATTTTCGATGTCTTCAATGTCATCATCCTCGTCCACTTCTTTTTGAGAATTCTCTTCAGTTTTCAACTTGTCAGCCATGATTTCTATTTCGTTTTTCGATTAACCAGGCTAACACAAGAAAAGACCACAAGGCTACAAGGCTATATTGCGCAAAAACGTAACCACATTATATTGGTAAATATCAATCTTATGTATTATTTGTAATTTTATGATAGTGAGAACGAGGAGTTGAGATTAATTTTCAGAATCAGCCCACTCAAAACAAATTAACACAATTTGAACGATTTACAGCCTGAAAAATTGTTTTAATAAACCAAAAGGCTAGCCGATTTTACAGAGTGGAATTCTGGGAAATAAATGGCTGTTGTTTGTTATGATTAATTTTCACAAAATGGACCCTTTCACAACTAGTTAACATTTTTGCTGAAAATGAATCTTAAAAGCATATTTCAAGACTTTAACCCAAGGTGATTTTATTTTTTTAGTGGGCTTATTATTTGATTTCAAGGTTAATTTTGTAAATGTGAAGTTGAATGGTAAAATTCTCATTGAGAAATAATAAAAATAGGCCTTAGTGATCGTTACCAATGTCACTGCCAGTGTGACAGTCACTGTGCCGATCTCGAAGTGAAGTCTGACAATGACGGTGTCTCAAAGTGACAATGCCGGTGTAAATCGGACAGTGAATCGATTGATGCCGATGGCCAGTTTGACATTGCAAGTGTGACACAGTCAGACTTAAACTGTCAAATTAACACTGTCAGTTTGGCAATTTAAGTTTGACAGTGTCAGTCTGACTGACAGTGCAAGTCTGACACTAACAGTGTCAGTTTGACAATATAAGTCTGATAGTGACAATGTTACTTTGACAGTTTAAGTCTGACAGTGTCATTTTGAAGATTAAGTCTGACAGTGATGGTGTCAGTATGACATTGAAATGTAACCTTTAGATTTACCTTGATTAGGATTAGGTCCATTTTAACAATTGACATGGTCCTGTCTTACATTCATATGACACATTCTTATTCACAAAGGTTATAATGATCAAGTAGATCTTTACATGTGTTTTGTTAAATGAACATTTTTCTTGAAAAATATTTTATACTGGTATTATCACTTTATTTCAGTAAATTTTTGGTATTTACATGTTTGCTGGTATTTTGTTTGTTGTTCTCTCTAAGATTAGATGAAACAATATCCTGGAGTTATTGGGTAATATTTCTACCAATTTGGTTGTGGAATTTCTTAGTTTTGAGTGGTGCTATTGTGGGAAGTTATGTCTGGTGGAAAAATCCCCATTACAGGTAGCGCTTCTTTATTCTATCATTTTTGACAGTATTCATGAAGTGTGAGAAAACTTTGCTTGGATATTGATAACATTATATTTATAAATAAGAATTACAGTCAAGTAACCTAATTTCGTGGAAACCTATTATTCGTGGAATTCCGGAAAGAATTAATAATTTACATGAGCGACCTTGCACGACCTCCGCATTAGCTTGTTTTGATAAACATTGGTTTTCTCTACAATATCAGCTAGTAGAATGAATCCAGTAGTTTCAAGCAAGGTAAAATGTATTAATGTATACATTGACAAATACAAATTGGCGGATTTCACTTATTACCAAACGCCACCATTTTTTATTGGCCGAATTTCCTTATAATCCCAAGCGGTAATCAGAATTCCAAGTGTCGTCTGCTAGAATGTAGTCCAACGAATGAAGTTATGTGATCAACTAGCCGATTCCGTGTCAGCAAATAATTTCTTTGGAACACAAAGTGGACCATATTCTTATGTTGTTTCAGTGACTTTTAGCAATAAATCACGCTACGTATCATATTTTGTCAGTCACTATTTTTTTTAAAATCGTGGTTCATTGAAGGAATTGTCACTATTTATAATGAATTGATATTAAAGATAAATACTAAGAGAAGTTAATTATACCACCTGGTATCCATACAACGTGTTTTTCTAGACTTATTTATAGATCAAACATTGTACACGAAAATAGGTGTCGCATTCTGCCGCCGTTGCCGAGTTGGTTGCTCATGAAATATGGGTCANAGTGAAGGATTCATAAAGAAAATCGAAATAAACCGATTTTAATTATTTTGTAGAATATCTAAGGAAACATCTAAGACATAAATTTTTTTTTCGTTTTTTTAACCTTGACGAAATTCGGTATTGAATCCTTATATCCACGAAAATAGGTTACACCACTGTATATATCTCGTTTTACAGAGGATATTATTGATCTATATTGAGTATTGGATTTTATTATTGTTTAA